TACAATATAACTAATTCCCGTGAAATATCTCAGTAAGGTAATTTGCTCCAAGTGCTCCCCCCATTAGCAGCTGGTTAGTGAATAAATAATTTCCAGAGGAGAACTGCACAAACTGAACCCTGACGGCACTGAAAAGGCTAACAAGACCTGGCAGCAGTTTCTTAGCAATTAGTAATTAAAGCCACGGAGGGTCATGATGGTCAGAGATGGAGCTAATAAAAACCTGGCTGAAATATTCACAAGTGAGGTGCTAGGGAACGTGTCCCTCCTTGGCTCTGCAAAGCTTTTGAGGAAAAGCTCACAAAACAATGCAGTAACCTAATAAAAATCTGCATTAAAAGGAAAAACCGGCAGTCGCCAACCCGCATCCCAGGCTTACTGCTCTTTTTTTGCCTCTTTCTGCGTTCCCTTGGGGCAGATTTCATGCTACCCACAGCTCTGCTGAAGGCAGCGGGGTGGTTCGGGCGCCTGCGTGCCCTGCTGCAGCCAGGCATTTCTTAGGGGAGGCAAAATAATAGGTTGGCTTTTTTTTTTGTTTTGCAAAGTCAGGAACTCCATCTTAGCGCTTAAGCCCGTTGTTATGGTTCGTGTTATTCTTGGCACGCTGACTGGAGCGCGCTCGGTATGAATAGCAGAGACCTGAAAAGTAAATATCGTACCCTCTGGGAGCAGCGGAGAGGGGAGGGTGGTTATATTGCTTAATGGAGCACCCCCAGCGCCTGTTTGGGTTAGGCTTGCAGTAATTGCTCCCTAGGTGAGTTTATACCAACAATTGATCGTTTCAAATGGGAAAGAAGTACAAATGAGTAAGAGAATAAACACGGAGAGTGTTACGAAACGCAGGAGAGGAGAGCAAAAATCCCATGCAGCTTAAGCGCGGGGCTGAAAGCAAACTGGCCAGAAAACAGGGGATACTGTTTGCTTTACGTGCAATTTCTCATGAATGCTGAACGATACAAGAAAAGAAATTGAATTTTCTCCTTGAGCTCAAGCTATAGAGATACTTTCCACAGCCTGATCTTCTACAGAGTCCAAGGAGACCCCTCTGCTCTCCCGTCTCCTTCTCTGTCCCAGAAAAACCTGGGGCTCTCGGCACGAGCAGCACTTCGCCGTGAGCAAGCGGGTGAGAAGACAAGGAGCAGGAAGCCCACAGGCGTGACAGAGGAGCTGAGCTGAGTAACCCTGGTCTAAAACCTGCCGGCCCCTTTCACGGGCCCTGGCCAGGGCCACTGCAGCTCTCCCGTGGGTGCAATGCCCACGGCCCACAGGGCTCGGCCCCATCCCCTGCAGCCAGCCCGCGCTGGCGGGGCCGGTCCCCGGCTCCCCAAATCACCATATGTCACAGCAGTCTGTCCCCACCTGCCACTCGCCCAAGGCTGCTTTCGCCCGTCGTGTCTCCAGAGGGGCCGCAACCAACCTGAAACCGGGCTCTGGAGTCTGCACATCCCCTCTGCTAGGCAGGGGACCAGTGCTGGTCCGAGGACATGGTGCCAGCCCCTGGGGACCAGGAGCTGCCGGTCAGCCCCAAGGCCACTGCTGCAGGGTCACTGCTGCAAACCCCTGGTGCCCAGCAGCAAACCAGTGCTGCTTAATGCTTTCTGAGCACCTTTTACCATGCTTGTGCTAGTGGTTGCTAGTGCTGGTTGCGATGGACCCGGGCTAGTGCCACGGGGACCAGGAGGGGATGCTCAGGTTTGGCCTGGGATCCAGGATGGGATGCCCAGGTTTGACCTTGTGCACCTGGAGCAGCATCTCCCCGAGGTTGGGCTGCACAGCAGGATGGTGTTGGAGTGCGAGGAGGAACAGGGACGGAAAGTCCCCATTCTTCCAGGAATTACCACCGAAGGAAAAGCATGGGACGGCCCAGCAGCTGCCAGCCAGCTGGGCACCAAGCGCAGGAACCGGCTGTGAGGTGCCTGCAGGGCTGCCCATCCCAGCCAAGCACAGCAAGCTCTGCTTCTGCCCAAAGCGGACCTGGCGGCAGCACCCTTCAAAAAGCTGAGCCGGCAGCCCCATGCCACTTGGCCCCAGGCCATTGCAGTGGCTTCTGCAGCTGAGCTCATTAGTGCCTGCAATCAGCAGGACACGAAGGGGAGATAATTACACAGGCAGCACGGCCCCGGCTGCATGCAGGGTCTATATATAGTGCTGTGCGGGTCTGTGACGCCTGCGGTGCTTAGTCACGGCCCTCGGGACCGTGCGGGTCGGGGGGTGCCGGCACTGCACGTGCAGAGCTGCGCTGCTGGGCCATCTGCGGTGCCTGGGGAAAACCACCTCGAGCTGAATTAAATGTTTCTCTTACTACGTTTTTCCCAGATGAAAAAATGCAGTGAGTTTCCCAGTGGACTGCCATTTTGCACAGAAAAAACTGGAAACTTTTTTTTGCAGAATACCTAAGTGAAAGGTTTCAGCCTGGTGGCCAGGGTGGGTGCATGAAGGCGTACCCCCTCGCAGCCCCCAGGACCCCACAGAGAGGGAAAGGCGCTCCCCACCCTGCGGAGAGCATCCCCCGGCCGCAGGCAGAGGGTGCCCAGCGCCTGCACCCGCTCCAGG